ATGGTAGTCTTATAGTGCAGACTCCCTTTTACGACTGACCAGGGTTTGTGCTTGCAGACTACAACTAGGCGGCCAGTCTCGCTCTCACGGAGGGGTTGATATTACGTAATAGTAGCTCTCTCTGATTGGATGACTTTCACAGACTTCACTTGGGTCGGAATATTCGCCGAACAAAGTAAAACATAAGAAACTCAGATTACTTGTCAAGAGGCCCTTGCTCGCGCTCGGTTTCTGACTCGCTTCGCTCGCCAGAATTTACGGACTCCAACAACTCGAGGGCCATCGACAAGAGGCTATTCGCTACCTTGCTTCCCATCTCTCCCTTCTTGGATAATTAAACATGGATATCCTCAGTACTCCACGGTCAGCTCACTGGCTACTTTTATTGATCTGTATAGTGTCCCAGTGTGGGGCAGACTTCCAACTGACTGTACTTCACACGAACGATGTCCATTCGCGGGTGGAACAGTTCAATAAGTACGGATCAGAATGCTACCCCGAGGAGGCGCGGGACGGGGAGTGCTTCGGAGGGGCTGCAAGACGGGGCACCAAAGTCCGAGAGATAAGAGAAAGTGATCCGAATGTTCTTCTTCTTGATGGAGGTGACCAGTTTCAAGGCACCTTTTGGTTCTACATCTTCAAAGGGGCAGTTGTGTCGCATTTCATGAACATGATCGGCTATGATGCCATGGTGAGTTCAGTGCAGAGCAATAACCACCTTAAAGCTATAGACCAGTTTTGGAAACGCCCCCCCCCCCTTTTAACAAATGAAAGGGAAGCTCTCATTACCAGTAATGTAAAAGAATATGTTTTGACTAATACGTGAAGATACAAATGTTGCCGCGAAACCCCCTTCTAATATTGATATATTTGGTAAATTATCATATCGATCCGGCCTGGTAGATATCACGAATGCACTTGAACCTGTTATTAATGAGTTAATTACAAAACTCATTAATAACAGGTTAATAAAGTAACGCGTCACTAGGTCCCCAGTAAAGAAACATCCACACATTTGAATATGTTGGTAAACTGGTCTATATTGTGTAGCTGGAGCGTACTACTTGGAATGAATCCAGTCTGCATGAATCCAGTCTGCATTCATTACTTGTTATTTTGTCTTGCAAGCGTCTGACAAGCTTTCAGGTTGGCAAGAACAACCTTTATTAAAAAAGCATGCACAAAATTTGAATATGTCAGCAAACCGGTCTATTTCTCCTCTGTTAATACCCTATATACACTAACCAATTTCCCAACATCACCCAAACCAATCACTGTGCCTAACCCTACCCAGCACCCCGAACCGAACCTGAACCCCATTACCCCCGTAACCCTTACCCTTTAACCCTTACTCTATGACTTGGATGAAATCAAACCAGGATCGATTGTCATCGGATGGAATATCAGAGCACCAGTCAAAGATAAATGAATTATAACATTTTACTTGGAAGAAAATATTCAGGTTACTTCAGTATCATTCTTTTTAAAATGCCATACACCATGTTAATCAGATCCAAAACTCTACCCCACGAAAAAAATTCTCTCATATTCGCCTAATCATTCGATTATGATGTTGATTGAGATTGAAAACATCACTCTAAATACTATGTCTCAAGCGGATGCACGCTAGAGTTATAGAATATGAATATTCTGACATGTAGGATGCTAATTTGCAATTTTTATGGTCGATCTCTTAAATAAACTCTTATTTATAAGAAATTTTTGTTGGGTAAATTGTAATAATCATTTGAATTTAAGACATATTTTATTTGTTTGTTTGTATGTATGTTTAGTGTCTTTATTTGTGTATTGTAGTATGTTTAGAAAGGAATATATTTCATATTTTTTTATTATAAAAAAGGGTCAACCTTTATATAAGGATTATGTTTCCTTTCAGGTAACAACCTATTCCGTTTGTTTGATGTGCTCGTCAAATATGTTCTTAATGTGTATTTTATGTTATATAGCTGATTGTTATATGAAATGTTGTCTTTTTAACTGAATGAATAAGATTGAATTTAATTGAATTTGAATTGAACATAATTATATGCTGATGTTTATACCTTAGTTACACCAACGAGACCGAAACCCGACCGACACCAGACCAAAAATTAATTACACCCCCCCCCCCAAAGAGTAAAAGTAAATCGATTAGTTTGAAGTCTGTTTGACGGTGTGATTGAGGTCTTAATGTGCCGGTAACAAGGTCACAAGTATCATTTGGGGTTTTAGTTAATCCGTCTTGACTGCCCGGTCCAATATAGTCTAGTTCTGGACCCTATATGATTTTTGTTATTCGCCGACTATAAACGTTAAGCCGAGTGATTGGCGCGATCCTTATTGACCGCCATATCCCCACTATTCTCGCGCGATTAGTGGTGATATGGCGGTCAATAAGGATCGCGCCAATCACTCGGCTTAACGTTTATAGTCGGCGAATAACAAAAATCATATAGGGTCCAGAACTAGACTAGGTACAATAAAGAAATGTGTCTAAATATACATGTCTATATTTGATTAGGCTTCAATACGTCCTCTGAATGGACCCTTTCTAAACGAGGCCTTTTCCCAGTGCCAAAAAGCATTCCGTGCCCTTTTATATCGACTTATTGACTGGGTTCATACTGAAATTACCCTCTATTGATTAAATAATTCGAAACGTCCCTTTATAACGGAATAAAGCAGAATATACACTCTTATTTCCACGGCGTCAAATTTCACTCTAAATGGCGTCAGCTGGGAGTCAACTCTATTCCTAGTTAAAGTGACACGGATTCCGAATCAATTTGACTCGGATTGTGTGGCATCAGCTGAGAATTGACTCAATTCAGAGTCAAGATGACTCCTTTTCCGTGTCACTTTAACTAGGAATAGAGTTGACTCCCAGCTGAAGCCATTTAGAGTGAAATTTGACGCTGTGGAATTAAGAGTGTTATATGGAAACGTTTGCTTTGATTTGTCCCCGCCCCCCCCCCCCCACTCAGTGTTATTTAGGGTACGCATATGCGTGTACCAACCGACCCCCCTCCCCCCCCCCTTTTCAGCAAAAGTCCGGTGTGTAAAGTCAATACGGGTCGACCTTTTTCTTTTGTTACGAAAAGGACATTTTGACAACACGCATGGGGTCCGTCCGTTCTCGGAGTGGGGGGGGGGGGGGGGGGGGGGATTGTCTCATAAAAGAAGTTGACCACAAACTGACTCCCACACGGTGTTGAGTGCTCAGGGGTCACGGGCCACTGGCTTCACCGGGCAGGTAGTTCCATGATGTGAATGGGTAAATTAACTATTACAACATGAGGGGACACATTACATTGTACAATAGGGACACACATTGTTTTTATTGTGCAGAACATACTCTTTTATTGACTTACTTATTGAATGAAACTATAAAAGCAAAATGCATATTTCATTCTAACAATTGGAGTACAAAGAATAATAACAGGTGAATGAAATGCATAAACACCACCCCTGGGAAAGAAGCATTCATAAATTTGAATACATATAGTTGATAAACGACTCCGCATGAAACTATAAAACCTAAATGTAATTTGCGTTCTGGCAATTGGAGTACAAAGAATGATAGCAGGTGAATGAAATGCTTCAACAACACAAACACCAGAGAAGGAAGTATCCATAAATTTGAATAATATAGTTGATAAACGATTCCGCATGTGGACGTTTGGTGGAGCAGAAAGCAGTGGATTCTTAACAACACGAACCCATTTAACAGAATGTCGGAACTTAAATTAAATTTGGCACGGTTGGAAAATGCATCTTTCTACCCTACGACTTTAATGGTACGATCCAGTAAATTAAAACAGTTAAATAGCTCTTATTTTAAAATTACTCATTAAATAAAACCCCAAACTTCAGTGATATCAGACAATTTTTTCAAAATATGTTATATCTTACTAATAATTAAAAAAGATGTATAAACATTGTGAAAGAGTAGCATTTTACGATAAAAGACACCGATTGAGCGAAGATGACGTCATTAGAACCTGTTTATGTGCGCTTGCATCAGGGAATTCAAGGTTAAAAGGTCAATTCAGAAGCTGATAAGTTATTGGTCAAGCCTTTTTGTTTCCTCTATTCCGACAAAATTATACAATCAATAAAAACAAGTTTACTACCAGAAGAAAGCTAACAGTTAGTATTTTCATCAACCGCGTGCCCCAAAGTCACTTGACCACAGTGAAACGAGTTAGAGCTTGCGAGAGCGGCCAAAGTATGATTGAAACTAGCTTTTTACTCTTCTCCAACGCAAAAAGAGACGACATTGTGCTGGATAAATCTATTTTTTCCGACAAAAGTACAGAAAATTTGCATATGGTCTTTTTATATTATACTTTATGAAATGTTACCCGAGTGACTCCCGGGCGCCCCAATGCTGGAAAGAAACGCACATTTTAGAAAACTTCACTTTTTCATGGAAAAATGCTTATTTGTTCTATGCACGTCGCAAGTCAGATTGAGCGGATGATACAACGTTTCCATATGCTACGAAACAATAAGCAAGATAAAGAGAGATAGAGAGGAAGAAAGTGAAGTCGAAAATAATTTAGAACTGTCTGTGTTAAAAAGTGGAATAAGTTGTATCAAGCCATATTATGTTCATGAAAATGTATGATGAAAAAAAGAAAAAAGATGCAGAAACCAATAAATCAAATCAAATCAAATCAAATCAAATCAAATCAAGTTACCCATAATATAATTAGTAGTACTACATTGTCTTGGTTTAATATATCTTGTAAAAAACACCTTTTCGACAGATTGCTATCAGATACATGAATGTATAAAACAAGATGAGGTAGCCATATATGAAGTGTACGTTATGTGTGTGTGCGTGTGGGTGTGTGGGTGTGTTTGTGTATGTGTTGTAATTGGGGGTGGGGGGGGGGGGTATACTCATCTGCATAATCTGTTATGTTGTTACATTGTGACATACACACGAGTTATACTCGTAAAAATGTTACTCCTTGCCATTATATGCCATTATATACCTACTGTATAGCCTACTGTGTACAGGAGCCCCATTCACAAGCTGTGCTTCACTGGGGTCCCAAACCTATCATTCTTGTGTTCCTTGCTGTTATATCTTATACTATTGTTTATGTTTGATTTGGTTTGAATAAACTTGAACTTGAACTTGAAGATACGCACTGTGTGGAGTGTATGAATAGAGAAAGTGTAGTACATATAGCGCCCTCTATCATGGTCCCATATATAGCTTATGTCATAGCAGACGACATTCGGCATTATTTCATGCACTACAGGATTGTAGTACCATCACCAAGGTGGGATATCATAATTTACGAAGGTCATTATACTGTTTGTTCCTAGAGATAGACAGTCTTCAGCTGAATCTCAAATAACATCATGATATGGATTGTTTTCCTTGCTGATCAAAGTCCGAAAGTGCCATTACATTGTATAACAAAACCAACGGATCTTCAAAATAAACTCTGAGCTATATAGCTGCGGCCCATCATTCATTTTTAACTCAACGCACGCTGCTCCTTCTCAACCGGAGAGCTAGCCATTGTCTCCTCCTTCGGCTGGTATTGACTTTCAAGTTCAGTCGTGGATATACGAACCATCTCGCTACCTTGCTTCCCGTCTCTCCCTTCTTGGATAATTAATCATGGATATCCTCAGTACTTCATGGTCAGCTCACTTGCTATTTCTTTTGATCTGTATAGTGTCCCAGTGTGGGGCAGACTACCAACTGACTGTACTCCACACGAACGATGTTCATTCCCGGGTGGAACAGTTCAATAAGTACGGCTCCGAATGCGACCCCGATGAGGCGCGGGACGGGGAGTGCTTCGGAGGGGCTGCAAGACGGGGCACCAAAGTCCGAGAGATAAGAGAAAGTGTTCCTAATGTTCTTCTTCTTGATGGAGGTGACCAGTATCAAGGAACGATGTGGTTCTTCATCTATAAAGGAGCCGCTGCGTCACATTTCATGAACATGATCGGCTATGATGCCATGGTGAGTTCAGTGCAGAGCAATAACCACCTTAAAGGTATAGACCAGTTTTGGAAACGTCCCCCCCCCGGGCCCCTCTCAAAAAACGAAAGGGAAGCTCTTATTACCAATCATGTGAAAGAATATGTTTTGACTAATACGTGATGATACAAATTTTGCGGCGAAACCCCCTACTAATTATTTGGTAAATTATCAGATCGATCCGGCCTGGATAGATATCGCGGATGCACTTCAACATTGAACATTTGGGCATTTATTTCTGCTTTTTGCGAATTTAGATTGAAGTATTGTCATCTAAACCTATGAAGGCAATATTTAAACAATATTGAATGGATATTTTGCACCCACAACTCCGGAACCGCAATTTTACCATGCACTATACCGGTCTTTACCTTAAAGGTAGAGACCAGTATTGGAAACGCCCCAATTTCAAAAAATGAAATGGAAGCTCTCATTACCAATCATGTGAAAGAATATGTTTTGACTAATACATGATGATAAAAAATTTGCCGGGAAACCGCCTACTAATTGATATTTTTGGTAAATTAGTATATCTATTTGACTGTGAGAGATATAGGGTAGTCCCATATACATCTTTCTGTGTATAGTGCTTGTAACTTTACGAAGAATGATGATTGGAGTACACACCAATACTTATATGCTAGATGATCAACCTTTTCTGATCGATTCCACAACGTTTCTTTCACAATGCAATCGCATGACCATAACTGGTCTTTACCTTTAATTGTATGTGAAATGATACGCTTTGGTGGGATAGATAAATATTTTTGTTATGCCTCGTGATTTCTGATCATCGCTTTTACCCCACAAAGATTCATGATTGGTTCCGCGTTATTCGTCTTCTTTGTGAACTTTCTATCGCTTGTAATATTTGCTGGTTAATTGAGTAACGTCATCATGTATCAACTATCATATATCGCTAACTGGAATGATCAATCATTCCAGTTATCAAAATGATGCTAGAGTAAAGGTGCAATGCAACATTTAAAAGCCGAATAAGAATGTAATGACCATGACTATTAACTCATTTCTTGGCACCCGGTCGAATTCGACATTATGTAGTTCGTAATACCCGGTTATTTACTATTGTTTAGTGTTAGATGCACCACTTTTCCTCATACAAGTAATATTTATGTTTTAAATACGAATTAACTTCATCTTTCACAAATGTCTAATAGTATGCATGCCTATGTATCACTCCTTATTCAAGTAATGTTTATGTTGCACATTCGATTTTTCTACAGTGTTGACAAACATATTACGTCGGCCTTATGCCAAAAGGGCCTTAACCTGCTTTTGACCATTCCGAGATAATCGCGTTTGAAGTTTTGGCCTCTCTAATAATCAAAAGTTTGTGGTCGTTTTTGTTTGTTTCTGAAGTCAATTTCGATAAATATGTTAAGTTATTAAGTTTTACATGAAATGTGTTAAATTTGTTTTAAAATATACAGAAGTATTCATGCTATGTGCCAAAAAACATGTTAGGGGCTTTTTGGCATATGGCTTGAAAGTAGCGTATTTATGCCAGAAGGGCCGTAACCTACGCGTACCCCACGCGGCGTTCTGCCAAAAGGGCCTTTATTCAATTTTAGAAAAGGTATTTTTGATATCTGAATATTTTTATTAATATAATGCAGCTTTCGGTGAAGTTATTTTTTAGAGATCGTACATTTAGGACACCTTTTTCGTTGTTTATTTTCATTTATTTATTTATTTATTTCTGATATTTTGACAGGGTAGCCCATTCACCAACAAGTAGTGGTCTTCCATGGGGCCCTGAATGAACATATTTACATCGTTTATAACATTTATACAGAACAGTTACACAAATAATACTCGTTTGCAAAATAAACATAATCATTAACCTAGTAAACAGTAATGTCAATAGGAAAATATTAATTAAGTCGCAGTTATGTGAATAAGTCATGTAAATATTACAAAACATGCACGTAGTGTATGTACGGCTGAGCCATTCACAAATTACAACTTTGTTTAAACAATCTCTTAAATGAATTGACAGAGGAAGCCGTTCTCAATGAATTATCTAGCTTATTCCATTCAAATATGGAAGAAACAATTGGGCTACACTTATAACAATCAGTGTGAAATCTAGGCACACGTAAACATCCACTGTCTATTTGCCTTGTATGATGCTCATGTACATCATTACAGTCCCATCCGTTGACATCTGTGTATTTCATGAGTCAGTTGCATTTCATGCATCCACATCTAACTTAAATGTCACTCAGAATTCATGATCTAAATTCATGACATATACTTTCAGTGATTATTTTAAGTACATTGTGTCTATCGTAGACTAATCGTGTTTTTAATGGTGTTTCTACTGATATTTATTGAATTAAATGGAAACTACGAAATAATCTGTCATTGATAAAAAATAAATAAATTGCCGTGTAGGTTAAGGCCCTTTTGGCGTAAGGAAAAAGATGAGATACGCGTTAAGGGCCTTTTGAAATTCATATTTATCTTCCTACAGAAATCGAATTTCAACAAGTGAAGCACATCATTTTAAAGAGAATGATGAAATCTACAAGGTGATGTTAATAACTCAATAACCCCCAAAATCGGGTTAAGGCCCTTTTGGCATAAGGCCGAATTATGCCACTCTTTCTATTTGTAGTTGCGCTCGATGCTCACCTAAGCTTGGGATATTAATATCATTTTCATTTTATTTCCCCTTTTTTCTCCTTTGGATTGTGTGAATGGGATTGAATTGTAAGCCTACAAATTACATTATCAACGATGACCCATATTACATTATCAACGATGACCCATATTACATTATCAACGATGACCCATATTACATTATCAACGTTGACCTTTATAACATTATCAACTATGACCTACAGTATGTAACATTATCAACGATGACCTATATTACATTATCAACGATGACCTATGTTACATTATCAACGATGACCTATATTACATTATCAACGATGACCTGTATTACATTATCAACGATGACCTATATTACATTGCAGGCCTCGGGCAATAGCACGATTGTAACCTCCTCTTGAGCGTATAAAAACAACTATGTCTCTCAAAGCAGTCATTATTACTATACAGTGCGTCCCAGAAAAAACGAAACCGAGAATTATCGATGTTTTATCATAACTTAGTCCCATTATAATTGATAAATGACACATAATTATTTGGAAAGCTTAGATTCCCCTCTTTCATTTGATGCAACTCATATGATGCATATTTCACGATGTGTGATTAAAATGAATTTGTAGAGAGGAAACCAAAAAGTAATTTTGACTAAGTTATGATAAAACATCGATAATTCTCGGTTTCGTTTTTTCTGGGACGCACTGTATATCAACGATGACCTATATTACAACTGGAAACTTGCTCTGTTTTATACGAACTTCATTCATTCTGCGGAGTAATGAACAAAAAACAATGAATGAATTGACCTGCATGCATGTACCTTCTATTTCATATGAACTTGAGCCCGGAAGATCACGTCATCATTGGGAGGTTAGTATCTATGCGATCAGATTATTCTGGTCCAGAGGATTTCCCGTCGATCGATTGTTTCCGACCGACATCCGTGTCAAGACCACATTCTATAAAAGGTACATTGCTCATTAATGACTACATTATTCTACTGAATAATATCAACGACTGAGGGCTTTACCAATAGGTTTAGAGTGTATAGGGAGAAAGTGTGGGAGGGGAAAGAGGGGAAGGAGAGAATGTGAGTAAGGAGAAGAGTGGAGGGGCAAAATAAATGAGAAAGCGTTGGAGAGTTTTTATTTTTATATAAGTATGTATTCATTATATAAATACGATTTGATCGGGATAAGAATGTTACCATAGCAACAGTACCTCATCTCCCATCTTATTTAAGACGAAGCTGATTATTATCGCAATCCTCTTGACGATATCATCCGAACTGATTATTTTCGCCGTCGAAACGATTATTTTCCGGAAGATTAGGTCTGACTTTGTATGTCAATAATTTTGTCATTTCGGCGACCCAATCTCATAATTGCCTCAATAAGCCCTCTCTACGTTTTCTCATACGAGAGACTTATGCAGACGAATGCATGGAGAAACCTGTTATTAATATGCATTTATTTGATTTACCTCAGTTGTAAGTGTAAAAAAAGACCCATCGCAGTGGCCTAAATTGGAAATCAATTGAACGATGTTTATAAATTCATATCTTTGTATGTGTTTAATTGTAATGAATACATGTGTCATTATGAAGCGGTCTTAAATATTTAAACTATGTAGTAAAACATGAGTTCAAGCCCTGGTTCGGTTAGAAAATAAAAATGTATCTATTTTTGACAATCTGCACTCAGGTGAGACATGGGGACATGGTATGATTCCCCAAGTCAATGGAAACTAAATTGCCCCATGCTCACACCGCGTCCATGTAGTGAGAATAGCCCCAGGGAAATTGAGATGGTCTGATGATTTTGGGTATTATTATTTTATTAAGCATTTAGAGACATATTTGTACTTCATATTTGTGTGTATGTACACATCCAAAAAATGGCGCTTAATATTAAATTGATAAACATTTTACATCCCATATCATAGCCATAAGTGTACAGCGCGGACCTTGAATAAAGAAACTAATATTACTTTTTGACAGACTAATCGGTTTCTGTCTCTTTTTTGATACACGTTCATGAATTTTTCTTCATTTTCCACTCAAACTTTAAAACATGTTGATACTAAGAAGAGCGCGATCTGATAATATAGACAATTGTATTGGAACCGAAAGCATTCAAAGTTTATCTCCCCACACGTTCACGTTCTACTTTTATTGAGATAGATAATTATGTTAATCGTTTGCGGGAATATAGTTTCATCCACATTCTTCTTTGTATTTCTTGGGGTTGATTTACCGATCGTATATACAAATGATGTCCGGAGCAAAAGTATGACCACTAGGGGCATTCACACCCACAGCGATCTACATTTGCCACACTCCACCC